TTTCTCCAATAGACATACGAATAGATTTCTTCTACGGCGAAAGATTCTAAGCCACACCGACTCATTGACTCGTCTCGTATGAAACAAAAGAGTCACTAGAGAGGTTCTGCAAAACGAAAATGCGTACAAACTTTCGCTCTACATCATGAAGTGCGAAACTACGCACGAACTTTCGCAACTTTGGACGTAGTCCATCAGCCAGTGGTGCCAAAGTGAGTCCCCTGTTGCACTTACAAATCGAACACCTGGAACTGACATCAATCGACAGCAAAAGCATCACTGAATCCAACCTGCCTACTTTCCCTGGCGAAACTCTTCCACTCCTTTTACAGTGCGCCTTGGAAGTTCGACAAATTTCTTCTTCTTCATCAGCCATTACGAGGTTTTCCATCCGTTTTATCAGGACATCCAATGCGTCTTCAGTGAAAACGTGGAGTTTTGTCAACGTTTGGTGTGGTTTTCCGTGGCGATCGACCTAAAATCGCGAAATAAATCGCCGTCGATTTGAGCAGAGGTGAGTTGGCTTGGAGCACGTACAGATTCAAAAAATATGTGTACATGCGCACCGGGAAGAAGATGAAGATGCTCACCATTTTCAAATAACTAATTCAAAAACTACATGACTATTGTCAAGAGTGGACTCTTGCTATTGTACTGCAATTGTTGTAGTTACTTGTTTGCAACTACAATGGTATCAAGTAGATAATCAAGCGAGGTACACAGGGATTGATGGCTGATCAAAGCCCAAGGGACCAGCCCGAGGGCTTTGATCAGTCATCAAGCCCGACTGTACCTCGCTTGAATATGCTTCAGACGATCCCCAACAATTTTTTTGATTTAGAATTCAATCGCTTTATTCTTTGGGTGATCTCGAGTGTGGTAGATAGTACTTCGAAGTAGTACAACTGTAACTGTACTACTACCTGGTTGCAACATGTTCAAAGCAGCCTTGCCTTTATTTCAACTGTTTGCTGTCAGCATCCAGAGCCATGGCGTTTGCTAGTTGGTCGTAATGGAGAAGAGAACTGCAGGGCATTCACTCGATGTACAACATCCATCGCCGCAGATTCCTTACTTTTAGCTCTCCACGTTCCTTATTTTTCCAGGGATCAGGACCTTCCCGGGGTGATTCCATTCAGGGTGGAAGCGTAGATCACACTTTTGCCAAACAGTAAAAACTACGCTTCAAACCTGCTTGACATAACTCGGGGTGCACACTTCGGAAACCCGAAGGTGGATGATGTTCAATACTAGCTCATTGTAATCTTCCTGAAGGTATGTATTCGGATGCTCAATTAAATAGAACAGTGAAAGAGATGTGTAATGGAACAACACTCTACAACTTTAGGCGAACAACAATTTTATTGTAATTTGAATCCAGGCACACGTGTAATACGGAAACTGCAATGGTTTACACTGCAAATCTTCTCGATTTGCAAGATTTTTCCCGTAATTCACAAAAATCTGAAAGTTCATTCCTGAAACGCGCATGGCACTGATTGGAGATTGGGTTTAGGTCACAACAATGGCTGTCGATGAAATGCCAAAAATGGTCACTTTGTCGGCTTCCCCCTGCAGAGCGTGCAAGTCGTTTACTCTTTTTATTTGCGGATTCGGTGTACAGGGTCGCTAACCTCCCCATTGAGGCCAAAATCAAGTATTCGATTTCTAAGTGCAACAGGGTTCTTGAATTTGACGACTTCTGAGTTCTTGGCTGATGGACTAACGCGAAACTTGCAGGGAACGCGAAATAAACTGTCGTAGGAAATTTCGTGAGATCGGGTCACGTGCACTTGGCCCGCGCAAACTACGAAAAATGTGCAGAACGCAAAGTTCGTGCAAAAATTCGTACACACTTTCGCAAGGACTGTCGCGAAACTTCGTTCGAATTTTCGTTTTGCAGAACCTCTCTACTGAACCTTTTTTTAGCAACATGACGGCAACTTAAACAGCAACAGAGAAAGTATGATACATGTACTGCACATTCTTGCAGGTACTACAGGTACTACAAACAGATTGCAGATCGTAATTCTTGCTTTGGCGGCACGAAATTTTAATTGGGGCAGTGCATTCTCGGCGGTGCTCACAAATCAAACAGCCCTGACTCGAGTAAACAAATCCAATCATACAAGTACGAGATTTTCACGAGACTGCACCCATTGGCTTGTTTCGTATTAAGCAAACAAATTACTGAACCTATCCACAATGGAGATTTTCCCTGATATGCGAATTATTTATTTGGCAAACTCGGTCAATGAGTTCTTGAACCTTTCCCTCCAGATTGGGAACTGTCAACGATAGTATGCCACTGACCAGTGCCTGACTTGTAACGTACTAATGTGCAATGAATATGAGTATTTCGACAACACATCTAACATAAGCCTTACCGTCAAGAAGGTGAACTCGCGTTCTTCGCACACTGTAGGCAAGGGCAAAGAGATAAAAATGGATCTAAATCCGAATAAAATCAGCACACGTTTCCGTAAATGAAAGGGTGAGCATAAGCAAATGAATCGAAGGAAACTGGTCAACTCATTGATCACCTGTCATTGAGTATTCCGTAAAAGGAGGCCTCGGCAGCGGAAAAGCTAAATTTAGAAAGGAGATCCTGTCAGCTTTTCCATTATTTATTGCATTCCGCCCAAAATCAGCACACTTTTCGTAAATGAAAGAGTCAACACAAGCAAATGAATCAAAGGGAACTGGTCAACTCACCTGTCGACATGTCATTGAGTAATATTCCGCGAAAGGAGGTCTCAGCAGCGCCGAAACGAAATAAGCCAGGCCAGGAGACGAAATATCCGAAACAGCTCATGCAAGAAGCAGTTCCAAAGAAGGAAGTTCCTCGTGCATGCACATCCGAAAACGGAAAAGGCAACAACAAAAAGTCTGCAATGCACACGCATCCGATGGTACGTAGGAGCCATGGAGTAGCTCCCTGGTCCAGGACCAGGTACCGAGCATCTTACGTAGAAACTTACGTAGCTACGTAGACAACGTGTCTGAATAGCGGTGTCGTTAGGTAGCGCCATGTGAACACAATAATAGAAAAGCTGACAGGATCGCTTTTCTAAATTGTAATGTTTTGTGACAGGGAGTAGTAATATAGTAGTATTTTACTACTCTCTGCTTTGTGCATACTGTACAAGTAGGCTAGTACCTGTCTGCAGTGGAGTGGTGTCAATACATGATTGTAATGTTTTGTGACAGGGAGTAGTAATATAGTAGTATTTTACTACTCTCTGCTTTGTGCATACTGTTTATCCACACAAGCAGCAACAAAACTGGATTCTCCACAGCACCACAAGATATGTGTTGAGGAACACATCAAGCAAAGTCGTTTGCATCAGCCGGGTAGATCACCACTGGCACTTGGCCCATATGTCCTAGTGTTTATGTCGCTGATTGCTGGTGATGGTTGAATGTAGACAAGAGGGGATATGTCTCTGAACTGAATGAGCGTGTAGCTGTCGCACAGCCCTATAGACTCATCCTTTGATAACACAAGAAAAAGCCGTGCCGCATAGCAATTTGTTTCGTTGTGTTTTGTAGTTCTGGCTTTTTAGTGTTAGCGTTGGCGGTCGTGTTAAAGAAAAAATAGGTTTCGTTCATGTTTTTCCAAGTGCACTCATATATTAGCGGAAGCGGAGCGTACATGTACAAGTTGAAATGTAATTCACTATTCTTTAGGAAAGGTAGTAAGTCTGATCAGCCAGTCAGGTTTCCTGCACTATCCGAGAAGATAAAGAGAAAAAAGAGTGGAGAAATCAGATTTTGGGATCAAAGCAGAGTGTGGTAATTCCAGCAAAAGCAGCATCCAGGATCTGGCTCATTACTAGGAAGCTTACCATTGAAGAGTGATCTTGAATGTCAACTGTGGTGGTTGCTTCTGTTGTTTTGCCTTCATTGGCCGTACATATCATGGACTATGTGGAAATCTAGCGGCATCCTAGCAGTACTTGAAAGTACAGTTATGTAGTACCATGACATGGTGTGTGTATGAACACACAGAACACATCTACAAACATGTACTTTTGGGGAAAATTGTGCCCCCCCCCCCCCCTCTCTTGATCATGATCCTGGCTATGCCCCTGAAATCCATATCGCAGTGTGTCCAGTCAGCAGCTGTTTGAGCCAACACCAATAATACGTGGCGGGAGAATTTCTTCTCTTACAAAAAGAAAAGGGATTCCCGGGCCGTCCCGCACCAAAATCGAGCCGAAGTCATTTTTTATAGTACTGATCGTGTGAGTAGATCTGTGACAGGGAGTCACCGTGACAAACCCGGGCTTGTACGACTCCCTGGTGTACGACTGAGGGCCGTTGTTGACCGAAATACCAAAAAATTCTCGACATCGAGTTCTGTATAAGCAAGAGTAAATAGCCCCCGGAGAGTGCAACTCAGATGGGATTCTTTACCAGCCAAGTCAAAACCAGCAAGTTCTTGTGTTTGTAGTACAGGCAGAGATCAGCTGTAGGGTTGGTGGTTATAAGAATATACCGCCTATAATGTTATCAGCTTCAGAATTCCAAATCTAAAGTATCTTTTCCACTCAAATTCAACGGTGGTTATAGGAGTAATCTCTGTATATGTATATCATGGTTTGTAAGTTATAGGAAAATAGGGACAGTCGTGAATCAGATACATGTACTGCTCTATTACTATGTCAGTGTGAGGAGAATTAGAGGGAGAATGTCACCTGTCCGCCATGTGTCTCTATCCGTACAAGAGAGCAGACTGAGTATGCACAACTGCACATCACATTGCTCAGCTTTTCTCATCTTTAATTCCAGGTACTGTTTTGTAGAATCTACTAACTTACAAGCTTGAGCAGGCCAATGGGAGTTATAAAATTTGGACTTTGATGTATGTGCATGTGAGTGTGTGTGTGTGTGGGGGGGGGGGGGGTGGGGCTTAGAATGTGCAGATCCTTTGTTTGAAAGACGTTCATGCTCCATTTTTCTTGCTTTCTTCAGATACTAATTTCAGTGCGACGGCCGGCCGTGTGCAAGTACTGCTCGTACTATGGTCTGACCCTAACTGTCAACATTGCTAGCCAAGAACTGACGTGCAGTGAATGAAGCCTGATTGTTAATTCTTGTAAGTTTCAGTCCTGGATCAACAGTTGCTGAACCACAGCACAAACACACAAGACAGGCACGGTTAGCAAGCACACCATTCCACTGATCACCAACTAGCGATTACCTTAGCCATCCTCTATGACAGTGAGTTTGTGAACTGTGTGGCATGCTGGACAGCTAAGTTCATGAGTCAAACGGTTTGCTTGAGATCGAGACTGTAGATGTGTTCAGGCGGTAACTAGATGCTAGTTTAGACCAGAGACAGTTGTTGAAGGGGAAAGGATGTGTTGTACTGCAAGACCGGAGACAATTGGTTGGTATGGCAATGCAGAATTTTCCATCAAAGGATTAGGTACTGAAGTATTTTTACAGTGCTATGCAAGATAAAAAGTTTGAACTCTTATCAAGCTGTGCAGGACTTTAAATAGATTCTACAGGCTCAGTTCATACCAGTGGTGTACCCGGGGGGGGGGGGGGGGTGCTTTGGGTGCTCAAGCACCCCCTCAAAATGTTCGACATAGGCCAACGTTCATGATGTACCCACAGGGGCATATGAACAGGTCCGGCGGCCGCCGATGTTTCGCCAAAAAAAGAAGAAAAAAGGCAACTAGCTCGTTTACAACCATGCGGAGGGTCAAGTCCTACACAGTACAACCGGCCAGGAAAGGCTCAAACACATGACTCCTGATGTTCCTGAATGTCCACAAGAAACTGCTGGACGTCTAGTGCCTGAAGAGTGAATTTGAATGTGGAAGTGAGCATCAGCTCTCCCAATTCAGACAGTTTTAAAACCTCAAATCTTTCATGATACCACAGTATTTGTTCATATCAATCCTTTTACAAGTAAAATCACCCTCTTCATTCAGTAGAGACAGAGTCGAGTGAGCTGTATTCCCGGTGCCAATAGGCGGGCTCACCACCCCTGTATGGCAACTTCCCCATGCCTAACCTCCAAGACAAAGTCAATTCTGAAGTAGTCATACTGGGCGGAGTTGAAAATTAAAAAATTCCGACCTGTAAAGAGCTAAAAATCCGCTGGACCATTGGAAATCTGCTTCCTACGCCCCTGGCCCATGCCACTAAAAGTATCATAACTTTGCCACCGTTAGTCTGATTTTTTTGCCTTCCACTCGCTGTCACTAGTTGATCATAGTTAACCGTGTTACATGTAATCAAATGTGCCAGGACGGAGGGCTATCCATATCGTCAGGGCCTCGACTTGTTCTATTCCGATTTTCCGGAAACACTCCGATCAGTTGTTCCGACAAACCGACCGAAACAATTGTTCACGAAAGTGTACTAATTTGTTGTTTCGGGCCCTTGGAATCCTAAAAACGTGACGGCTTCTAAAAGGGTCGCTGTCCCCTCGACTCCCTGCCATTGAACACCTCAGACACAGCTTCTGATTTCTGCCAACAGAAAAGTGTCAGCCCTCTGCTACTATCTTGTTTGTGGGGGACGCGGCGGCTGGAATGTATTCTATGGTTCGAAAGCCTACGGGACTGGCCCTTGCCGCAATGGTTTGCGAATTTCGGCATCTTGCCCTGTTCCCGGGCCCGCAATCCTCGCATAGCTTGCCAGCTTCTCGGCAACAGCAGATTTTTCCACACTTGGAATTGCCAGTGCACTGGCAACACTGGCTGTCAGGGACGCCAGTCGCGGGGTTGCCCTTTGCGGGCATCGCCGTGGAGAGAGTTGCCAAATCTACTTATGCCAAGTTCGCGAAACTCGGGGAATTCACGAGTCAAGTTCGAATGCATAATTCGAAGCACGAAAAGTGCGCCCGCTGGATAATTCGAACTCACTCTTCGTACAGAAAAGCTGTTTACAGTACAGTGGCTATGTCCTTTTGAGCAATTATTTCGAAGTGAAATGGAGTTGCTCTACTCGTAATTCGAAGTTCATTTTTTCTCCTTCTCTAGCCAAGAGTGACTCAAAAATCGATCCCTGGTCCGCTCCAGGATCCACAATAGCGTTGAAGAACCCCACCTTCTCTCGAAACTTGATTCAAGCCTGTGCAAGACAAAGTGCAAAGATTTGATTGAGGACGACTTCTTCCAGGTTTCTGGTTCCCTTCGCGGATCTCAGTGGGTTGGCGTGCCGTGCCAGCACATGCGCAGCGATGTTTGGGACTGAACAACAACTAGAAATCGTAAAAATAATTGTATGGCTATGCTCCACTTCCGTTCAGACTTCTTCAGAACGACGCCGTTCTGCTCTCCGACGGGCTTTCATGACGCTGAGAAGTCAGTGCTGTTCTTCTCCGTTGAATTTGTTTCAGGACGGCTGCAGTGACTTACAAATTCTTCACTAAGAGCTTCGTAGAAAAATAAATAAATAAATTCGACGGGTTCGCGTACCGGGCAGGTCAAGAACAAGGAGTCGTTCAACTCTCTGGTCAAATACCACCTTTCCGCTTCGTAGAAGATGAAGATAAATGTGCAATGACCTTGCGTCGATCCAGTGTTTTGATTAATCAAAAATGAACTAGTTCGTTGTACCTGACCACCCATATTTCGTTGAATTTGAGGTTGGAATTAGAGGAAGACCACCTGTAGTACTTAAAAGAGCAGTAGTCAAATTGAAAATGTTTTCATGATATGATCTAGCAAAATTAGTGTTCTCTTGGATCTAGCTTGCAGAGGAAGTAAAGTTTGTCCTCCAAAGTGAGGGATATGTTTGTGATTGCTAAGTGGGTACTTCAAGGCCTCATGGTTGCTCCATCCTACAGAACAGGTCCTACATTTTCCCTCGACTTGGTACATCATGGTAAATAGCGCACTAAAAATCAAGATATCAACCATCCATGCATTACATGTACATGTCAGTGGTCCTTTATTGGGTTCTTTGGGAAAGGGTTGGAGCAGTCCCCTCATTGCGGATCCTGCATACGCCCGTGTCTACTACTATACACTGTGTGTAAGTTGATAACCTGTATCAGTATAGTAGAGTGTTAAGTGAAGACACATGTAAAGCCATTACAGTGTAGTTAGTGACTAAGAATGAGCATAGGCTGCTCATCCATGATTCATGATACATTCTCTTCTGAATATTATCAGTACTTTAAAACCTGACTTCTATTCTCAAATTTCCTTCTTTCAGACACCACAACAAACGTGTGGACCTTACACACTGTACCAGCAGATGTAAAGGTTGCGACAGCGTAGCAAGGAAGGAACTGATCACTGCAGTGAATGAGGCATTGTCAACTATTGTATGTTTGAGTGACCTGGATGACTAGCCAAGCTGAGTGGCTGGTAATCACATAATCCAGCTGTTCAACGCCTAGCAGCTGCTTTCATCTCCATAGCGGTGAGTTGTATTGCAGAGCCACGACTACCATTGCTAGCTTCTGTATTCCTGGGAACTTGTTCATTGAAAACTGGGTATAAGGGTTTGAAGAAACAACAGCACGAGCAGCAGCAGCAGTGGCCTATCTCAATATTCAGTTGTGTATTCGTGTGTGTGTGCGTGTGTGTGTGTGGTGTAGACCAGGCTGAATAGTGGCGGTCAATTCTTAAGCCTTGCAAGTTGTTGAATGGTGCAATCCCATCACAAGTTGCTATGGCTTCTGCTGTAGCATCGCTATCATCGCCTCCGGCGATGGGCGTCCAATGGTCCAATGGTCCAATGGTGTGTGTATGTGTGAGCTACAGTGCAGGCAACTGAAATCCGACCCCCTGGGCGACGCGCCGCGGCGCCCGGGGGGTCGGATTTCAGTTGCCTGCACTGTAGTTCGGTTGGTGGGTACACTTATGCCGGATAGTGTTGGGTCTGTTGCCAACGGGCTCGGCGGCTTGAAGGTGTAATGTTGTACCTACCACCTTTGTTGGCTTCAGGGTTCATATACTTTCTATTTGAAGTATACATACCTGTTAACCATGGACTACTTCTGGCTAGATTACCTCTGGTGTAATCATGGTGCTAGTGAAGCTTATATCAGATCCACTCTGATTTAGCCACCCACACTAGTAGCAAGTATTACCTTCACTGAGGGCAGGGTAACTGCAGTTGGATCCCGGGACGGATACCCTGATGCCGTCAATCCTTTTTCTGCACCTTGTCCTCACCCACTTACTGAGGTGTGGTGAGCCCATAAGTGGGATCATTTTCAAGTCCACCCAGAGTTTTGGGAATTTCAGGGGTGTCGGCCGTTGGGCGGTTCAATAGCCAATTGAGTCATCTTTCCAAGATTCCTTTTGAGTCTCTCTCCCCTCTCCCGGGAAGACCCACGTGACCAGTTTTGGCAGTGAGCAGCAAGTGTGTGTGTGTGTGTGTGTGTGTGTGTCCCATATGGTGCAGTGGTATGTGCAGTGGATTTCCACTCGAGAGGTTGCGGGTTCAATTCCCGACGATTATGGTCGCACACATCTTTCTTCTCTTTCTCACTCTCCTAGCTCTTCTTTCATCCTCCTGGGTGGTTACCAACAGCCAGTGTATGCCGGAGTATGTGGTGTGGTGTGTGTGTGTGTAAAAAAATAATAATAATGAAAAATAGGGATTCGCTGGCCAGAAAAAGCCACTTAACCCTCACACCACAGAAGAGATGAGCCAGTGGGGTGTCGCAAGCTTATATTGAACGTGAGCACGACATGATTATTGTGATCATGATGACGTTTAACATAGTTCGCGTGAAATGATTGGACTGGGCCGTCTAAGGCCGTCCATCTGAAACATAGTATGGTAGGAACAAATAACGCCGTCTGTCGGCTATGAAAGAGCGTTTGAAAGACGACCCATGGGGTCATGAACAGACAACTGGCAAAAATTACACCAGCCAGCAGTAGATGAGCCGTCTACGGATGCATCCCCCAGGCGAAATGTGGCTCGTGCGGGATGTCGGACGCGAGTGCGACTCGAATGCGGAACTCCGCAAGAGTGTGTGCTTGCGCAAGTCGGCTGCGGCGGCACGGCGGAGTGTGTAAGGTCACCTAAAGTCATCTAGCGGGGATATTCCCCTGCGGGGGGCGCGGCCTGTGGCGTGCTGGTTAACTACGGTTTGCGCAACGCAAACCAACATTTCAATCAGTTATGTGGTGGATACCAGGCTAAAAATTAGTGGCGGTCAATTATAGTGCGTTTCAAAAGTATAGACCTCTAGACTTTTTCGAATAATTCAAATTTGGTTGGAGCTTTTTGAGAAATTTCTTTTGGAATATTGTTCAGGCAGCTCACGCAATTTTTCTCATGTAAATTTCTAAGCGATTGGATAACAGACGCCCAATTTCGAAAATTTTATGCACAAAGTGAACACAGATTTTATGTGGTATAGATGCTGGCCTAACGGTTTTTTTGAAACCAGAGGTCTGGACTTTTGAAACGCACTATAGTGGCTATAGTGGCGGTCAATTCTTCAGCTTTGCAAGCAGTTGAATGGTGCAATTCCAGCACAAGTTGCTATGGCTTCTGCTGTAGCATTGCCATCATCGCCTCCTGCGATGGGCGTCAAAAGCTCAAAGGTCAAAGGATAGAGTGTGTTTGTGTGTGTGTGTGTGTGTGTGTGTGTGTGTGTGTGTGTGTGTGTGTGTGTGTGTGTGTGTGTGTGTGTGTGTGTGTGTGTGTGTGTGTGTGTGTGTGTGTGTGTGTGTGTGTGTGTGTGTGTGTGTGTGTGTGTGTGACCGCTGGTTTCAAAGCGCTGGCGGTTTTGCAGTTCATCGTTGTGTGGAGCGTCAGACATCGGACGAAATACCAGCTGTTTCAACGAGATGCAGCCTGAATTTGGACTGCTGCCAGCACCATTGCTCGACCTGTGATCGCTGCATGAAGAGTCAGGCTGGTTTTAACCGCCATAATTGTACTCGAGGCAAACGACTGCGAAAGGACCAGAGGACTAATCTGCCCATTCAATGCAGCCTATGTAACGAACGATTCTCCCGCCCGCAGGACCTCACCCGCCACCGAAGACAGAAACACTAGCTATGTGTAGAACGGTCCCCTCTCACCTCAATTATTCTCCTTGTTTCTTTTTCCTTTCTCGCTGTTGTCTCCCGCTTCTGGGAGCGACGTGGCCATTTCGTGGCAGTTGTACATAGTAGTAGTAGTAGTAGTAGTGTGTGTGTGTGTGTGTGTGTGTGTGTGTGTGTGTGTGTGTGTGTGTGTGTGTGTGTGTGTGTGTATGTCTGTGTGTGTGTGTCTGTGTGTGTGTCTGTGTGTGGTTGCAGAAAACTACACAGACCATGACTGCAGTGAAGAGTGTATGAACCGTGCTACAATAACCAGTTTATCATCGTTTTGAAATTACTTCAAAATGTCTAACAGTAAGTCAGACCAGCAGTCCACCATAATTGAATGTGCAGTATCTTAGCAACAAGCCTTTGGTTACTTGTGATTACAAGAGCAAACAAGAAACAAAACTCCTATAGACAACAGACTTGCTATAGGAAGTAGATCTCCTATACAGAACCAAACCCGTTAATGGAATGTTTGTTGCTTACAACCTTTCAGCCGCTGTTTTCCTGCCGACTTGACTTGTCATTTGACTGATTGTGACTGCCATCCTACACAGCCGTCCGTATACAAGAAATCCATCAAATGGTTCACTTTGTAAACCTGCAAGAAAACACCTTCTGCCTGCTTAAAGTACAGTTTTACGGGGAGGTCACCCCACATCAGTTTAGCTTGATTATGCTGAGGAGGGGGGGGGGGGGGGGGTGAACGAGGCTACAGTAAGATCGGGCGCCGAAGAACGCAGGGGCTCGAGTGCAGCCTAGGAAAGTTCTTTTAAATTTTTGATTCTAGCCAGACCGTTCTTATTCACACGCGCACGGCGAGTCGAGTGACGTCATGACGTTTGTCATGTACATGTACATGTACATGTAGTGCAATGTAGTACTTCTAAACTAGTGGGTGTCGTAAATGGGAATGACTGTACATGTAGCAGTTACTGTTTACACGTGTACATGACATGTACTCACCTCCCATACATGTACAATGTTCCAAATTTTAAGTGTTCTTAAATCTGATAATTCTAGCCTGGACTGTTCTTAAATTTTGCCGGTTTTCCAGCCTGGGTGTTCTTCGGCGAGGTGTTCTTCGGCGAGGTGTTCTTCGGCGAGGTGTTCTTCGGCGAGGTGTTCTTCGGCGAGGTGTTCTTCGGCGAGGTGTTCTTCGGCGCCCGATCTTACTGTACATGATGTTGATGTGTCCAAACATGACCCAGTTGTCATGGTGATTGGTTGTCCAGGAAACTGTCTCAAACTTACTAATGATTATCTGTCAATGCTGTTTCGATTAGTTCGACATTCCTGTATATTTGGTTTGTGTCTTTTCGTATTCTTTAGATGAACCATTTGGTGATCTCAAGTTCATTGCTAATATCTTACCCTGGATCTGTGACATTGATACAACGAGGTTTCGACATGCTGTGCAGGGCAAATGCGTGTTCATAAGTATAACGGAAATTGAGACATTGCTGCGTCTGGAGAAGTACGAAGGAAAGGAAAAGCATAATTCTCACATCATCAGTCTTATTCGTCCTGGAGGCACATTTGCTTATAAACTGCTCTGCAGTGCAATCCATGACTTGGGTCCATTGTACAATGAAAAGTACCAAGAAATGCTTCTCCTGTTGCCCGTTGACCAGCGACCAACGGCCAAGACATCCTCTTACGAGACAGGTAATTGATATGTCTAGAATGGGGAGGTTTCAGGGTTGTGGATGTATCATTACAAGCTGAACATGCCCAATTTATACATTGCCATCAACCAAACTTCTGCTGTCAAGGGAAATTTTAATTTTGTACCTTACCAGCAGAATACAACTCAATACACCAAAGTGTCGTCTAGCTAAAAGTGAATTATACCCCTCTTGCGGCCGCGATACACAACAGAAGGCCAGCTGTTTATTTGGAGAGAATACTTTGTTCTTTCTCTCAGGAGAAGACTGGACAACTGACGTATGACAACTGACAAGTGAATAATATCCAGGAAAGTGGTGCACTCATCAGGGCAAAAGTGGTGCGCTTATCAGCACAAAATGTGCACGGGTAAGCAATACAATGCGGTCCCATTGCGGACCAGTGTGAAAAGTGTGTACAGAGTGGGTGACTATAAAGCCTAGTTCACATTCGACGGGGCACGACGGGACGTGACGTAAGGATCGACGGGAAGCGATGGGACAGTCTGACGGCGTCCAATGTGAACACCAGGAACGGGAACGCAGCCGTACTGCCGTACAGATCGGGAAGCGACGGGAAGAGTTGGATCGATCCAACTTTTCATACCGTAGACGGGCGTAGACGGGAGTGCAAGTGTACAAAACAGCTGCATTTTGAGTGTGAACAGGAGACGGCGTTGTGCGCCGACTACTCCCGATTCGTACTTGGGAAATTTTAAGCATTTCGAACACTGTGCTTCCCATGATAACTCGCAGAATGGCTAACACGACTTGAGTTGAATTTTAGCAAGATACGGTCTGGTGTCACTTATGGCATTTAGGGATAGTTCAGGAGCGTGACAGACGGACTGTTTTATCATTCTCTGGAGCTTTAATTGGAATAGCACACCTTTCGATGCTACTTTTTTTGGTGTTCATGAAAAACTGGTATTGTGAACTTGATTCCGCTTCATTCAAGGAGAAATAATTGAAAAGAAATACCGAAAAACAAGAAAATAGGGCCAAAGGTCACCCTGTCATGGGCCGTGCCTTATGACTGGCGTCGTTCGCTGCTGAACGACGAAACGACTGCAGC